GGTGTACTATTCCTTTAAGGTGTGTTTTTCCACCAGGAACTGAACACATACAAACCACGTTACATTTGACCTTACATTTTTATATTTACAGATTGTGCTTTTCTTCACCTACAGATAAGATGGTACCCTGTGGAGATTTCACATTTATTTCACAAGTCAGTCACTATTCATGTATTTTAGAAACCTAAATGGTTAGATGATTTAGATGCAGTAGGGTTACTGTAAAGATTACTCAGAAAGCAATGAATCAAAGTTAATCCTACTGAATATTCTACGATACTGCTGTGATGCTTGGAAACTATCTGCTCTACATCCCATGACAGGAACTCTTGAATTGCTCCTTCCGATAAGCGACACTAAGTTCATCAGTTTATTGTGGATACACACAGCATGCGTTTGTCTTAACGCTGCGAGTAAAGTCTTGCCCTGAAGTCTCACATTGCCAGAAGGGATTGGAAGCCAGTTTGACTACCGCTGACCTGCATGCTCCTTTACAATGAAAGATCAGCTATCAGGCCTGTTGCTGCTTTGTGCCCTGCTGTTTGAGGGTGGTATAAGGGATTCCTCTTTAAGTGCAAAGGGGTTCACCAAGCAGTTGGGGGTAAACTGGGGCAGATGGAGGAGGAGGTGAAGACTTTCAGACATCTTTGATGCTGCATAACTAAAGACTGGTTGTCAATAGTAAATGCCTTTCTCAAAAATCACTCTCAGGCCCTATAAGAGAATTATATCTTCAGGTAGTTCTGTTTCAAACACTACAGTAAGCAGCTTTTTCTAATCAGACCTGAAACAGGCTACTGGCAGGCTTAGTGGTTAACACTGACAGCCATGTCATACAACACAATTTACAGTATTGCACAAGTCAATACAGACTCCTTCATGCAGGCCCATTTTTCTGAAGCTGAGGACACAAACAAAACATTACATAATTGTTTTTAAAAAAAATACAAATTCACCAGAAAACCACAGGAAGCTAAACAATAGATTCTACATCTTATTTATGAGGAAGTTTTGTAATACGGTTTGCTGTTAACAACAAGCAGAGGAGCTTATTCAACCACGAGTTAACTGAGGTAGCTGATGAAAAACTGAAACCACAGAAAAATCATAGTTCATATTGGGGGAGGAGTTGAAGCTGCAGAAAGTTGGGAAAATAGGAATTGAAATAGAGAGGGGAGTGAGAGAGAAGGAGGGGGGCGTGGAGAAGGGGCTGGAGACTTACTTTAAGAAATACACTTCTGGGGTCTGTCCAACACAAATTAGATCATGGTGTAAAACATTCACAGAGACTCAAACACAAGAAAGGCGTGGTCCTTCTGCTCTGAAAGCATGCAAAAGAAGAATGGTGAGAAGCTGCTTCTAGATTGGTAAGTACTGTTTGCACATGCATGTTTTTTGAGGGCAGAGTCCAACGTAACAGGATCTTGACATGAAGGGAAATCCAGGCTCACAGCAACTCTCTAATGAGAAGTAGACCCTGATCAGAGTCAGATGGGGTGCCTCAAGCACACAGCCCCCCCCCCCCGACAGAAAGAGCCGCCTGGCACCCTTTGTTACCTCCAAGTGAGCTGAGACCAGCCCATGAACCATGTAACTTGGTGGTTTCCAGGTTAATGAAAAGCTGTAACTCTGGTCCCACTGTCCCCGACGAAGGCCTTTCACGTACCGCGCCACCCCTCTGTCTTCACCAACACATTCCCACCTCCATCTATGAACACGGTAACAGGGTCAAGGCTAATTAACTGTTTACTTTGTGTGAGCTATGCTACATTTACATTTTGGCATGATTATGGTCAAGATGTGCTTAATATTTTGAAGGTCTGATTTCACTTTCATATTCAAAATGCAGAGACGATAGTTATACACAATAATAAGTGAAAAAGATGCAAACTGAATTTAGAAAAGCTGTGCCACAGCAGACACTTCTAGGCGCATTGCTCTATGGTTTTGATGATGCTGTTTGTGCAGGTATGTTTTCTAACAAACCTCTGAGGCCTTTAGAAAAGCTGGTGTTTTTCTGACGTAAAGGTTCAGAACTGATTTTTTTCAGGGTTTTCAGAGTAAAGGAGGTTAAATACAAATATAAACAGCACATTTCAGATTTAGATAAACCGATTTCAACAATTTTCACATTAAATCCTATTAAAAACATCAGAGAATATGGCTGTAATGAGGCAAAATGTGAAATTATTACTTTTGTTTAATTTCCAGCGACAGACACTTTGTGGTACTAGATTTGTGACATACTAAAATGATCCATTGACAAGATTTTGATTTTTTTTTTCACATTTTTAAGGTTTCAACAGATGTTCTTCATATGTCTGCACATAAAGAAAATCCCTTTTTATTAAAATTGCAGAACAGCTCTGTGTCTGCTTCTGTCTCCTTTGCTTACAGTATGTCAGCAGTTTAACAACGGTCATTGGTCGGCTCCATCTGACCTGCAGGGTTCAAAGCAAACATGCTGGTTAAAGCTGTTAAATGAAGAACGTTGGAAGCTCTGCACGATGCATGATGAGCATCTAGAAAGAGATCATACTTTGGCTCAACTAAGGAGTTGAAAGAAAAGACAAAGAAACTGTGTTTCTTTAAGCTGCTGATTACACTCTAAAAGCACAGATTTTTTTTTATCTGCAACTTTACAGAAATATTTAAAGAAATACTCAGTATGGTTGTTTACCACTGGGCCTGAGCATCTTAGCAGATGCTCTCTTAGGAGAACTTAAATCCACATCTTTTATTTCCAATTCCACTTTAAAATATTTAGCATTTACAAAATGCTAAATATTTGTGTTTTTTAATCAAGAAATAAAATAAATAGTTGATTTATTGTATTTATTATGCTAGAGGAGTCCCTTCATTCCAATAATTAATTCTTTAAAGGACAGATTATTTTCTCATTTATATTTATAAAATTTATCAATTATTTATTAAAAGTTAGAAGCAGCAATGAGCACAAGCATTAAATCTAAAAAAATGGCAATTGATTTATAGTATGAGATCTGTTTGGCACAATACAGATTATCTATGCATCAATTAGTAATTTTACAGAATTTGCTCTTGCACATCTATCAGAAATTTTCTCCCACTCTATCTCAACAAAAACAGAGTTTTTAAATTCAACCAATTGAACGAGGAAGTCCCTGAGATGTAAGAAATATGTACTTGTTTGGAAGAGGGGATATGGCTTTACTGATCATCGAGTGCACCAGAGAAGTAAAAAGAAAACACGAAAAGAAAAAAATAAATTTAATTTAATGCAATGTTTAGGGGAGAAGCTCCAAAAATATCTACAAAGTGTTTTTTCTGTCATTGTGTTCCTCATCATGAGTGTTACTTAAAAATAGATCAAAATGTGGTTCCGTTTTCCCAAATGGCAATCTTTGTTCTGTTTTTAATTTAAAACAGAAGGATTTTAGCTATTTGTTTCCAACTTTTGCTAATTCCTTTCATACATAAATAGGACAGATAAAGCCTGGTGTGAATACAATCGGGTACCTTTATTGCCAAGATTACCTTTCCAAAAAAGGAAAAGGGGTAACAAACCTCCAAAAACCTTTGATTTTTTTTTTTGGTTGTGGAAAAAAAGAGGTAAATTCACTCCAGTTGCTTTTCAATTTGGACTGGTGGACATTAAAGCAGGAGCCAGTCCCTAATAAGAGCCATGCCTGAGAAAGAAACACACACAAAGCTGGGGAGAGAAACCCAGCCGAGGTGTGTCTGAGTCTCGGCTCCAAGGTTCCTGCTAATAGATTTCAGCTCCCCAAGTGTCCCAATTAGCCAGTATTTATCCGCGCTTTATAAATTCATCTCTAGATGTTGGGAGTGTGAACATGAACATATTTTCACATGACTTCCTTTGGCTTCCATTTCATAAAATACAGTAGAAAGCTTCCTGTTGATTAGCCAGACATATTTATTTCTATGCTATTCACAACTTTAGACAAGTTATTGGGTCTCCTGCATGCATATATGGAAACAATTAAACTAATTTTTAAAAAAGGAACCAATTCACTAAGACCTAACCTAGAATAACAAAAGTCTCATCAGAGACACAAACAGAAAAACAAAGATATAGCGTTCCAGTTCTAAGGCATCTTTTATCACTTCTAAGGGAAGATCATTACAAAGAAAATAGCAAGCGCACTTTTAACCCTGACCTCATGTGTGGACGGACAGCCAGAGCTCAAGACTTACCTGTAATAAAGCTAGCAGTTTCCACACGTGACCATAAATCACAGTGTGTGCCTTCAAAGTATCAAATATCGACCAATACAGCACTACTCACCCTTGGCTTTTATCCCTGCGTCTAGCTCTCTGTGCTCTAACAGTGGCGCGGCCTTCAAAGTGAAAGCGTCTCAGTTTTTTAAAAGGCACGCCAAGCAATTCATTTACGAAGAAACTGCTGCCGTAAATGACAAAAAGGGGGGTGGGGGTAGGTGGTTTGTGAAGGCAGAGGTCTTGGCTGGTCTTGTGGAAGACTATAAAGCTTTAGTAGTGGCCCACGATCTGTTTATGACTGACTGAGACACTGTGGTGTTAGGCTCCTAACACCACAGAGAAAAGGAGCCCAACTCGGCCGATGCGGTTCTTGAGATGGTAACGGAAAGGCAGCCGATGAAATCATAAGGTGCTTTCATTCGGATGTGACTGGTTTAGCGGGATTTGAAAAAAACAAAAAACTTATTTTGATTTTTTGATTACATAGGAGACATTATTTTAAGCAGCGCACTTGGACATTTTTGTGAGGTATGAACTGTGAAATGGAGCATTTCATTTGCAAGAAAATGGGAGTAGGTTACAACATTGGCACCTACTGTTGTGGGGAATGAGTCCAGAATCGAGGGGCCTACTAATCTTAAGATTTAAAACCCTGCATACTCTTAGCAGCGGAAACCCTCATCAGAAGAATTTCTGAGGCAGACGTCAGCTAAATTAGTTTTTTCTTTAATCTTAAGGAAACAATAAAGCAGAGTATGATTTTAATGTTCATGGCTTACCTTGTCTTAACAACATCAAGTGGATGCATCAAACAAATCTCTACCAGACCTGATGAAGAAAAAAAAGAGATGATTAGCTTTCAGTTTTCAAATCATCTCATTTAGAACACTGCTTTAGGGCTTGAAAGCTTCCTCACAATCACAGCATATGTCTTGTCAGTGTGTAAACCTAAGATAAGAAATCCAACCAGGGTTATTCAGAACAGACAGGCAGTAGATAGCTATCTGTTCATTTCTTCTGTTTCAAGACTTTTACAGACTTTATTTGACAATTGCTTCAAAATGATGTGTCCAATACTTAAAGGAATAGTACACCCAAAACATGATTAGCCTTCATTTTCTACTCACCCCCATGCTGAACAACACTCTGGAGTACTTTTTTGATATCTCAAATGCATCTGGAGATCTGGGAGGCTTCTTGCTGTCTGCTGACATTCAAATAATGGAGGTCCATAGCGCCAGAGACAGAAAGGTCCATAAAAGTCCACAAAAAACGTTTCAATATTCCTCCATACTGCTCGTCCAATGTATTCCAAGTGTCCTGAGTGGGTAGCATCCAAAATTTACTCGAAACGAAGTCCTTTAGAATGTTTTTAGAGCATAAACAGTAGTGTATAGGATTTCCTGTAAGCGCGTTCACTAGTCTACGGAAACCGCGGCAGACCAAACCAGATGAAAGTGCGCATTCAGCGTCTGCTCTGCCGATAATGCAAGTGTAGAAGAAGAAATGTGCTGTTTACCTGTGCAAAGAAAGAAACGACGAAAGAAAAATGTCTGAGGACTTCAGTGTTGAGGAAGAGCATGAGTTCTTTGCCGAGCTGAATGCGCACTTTCATCTGGTTTGGTCTGCCGCGGTTTCCGTAGACTCGTGAACGCGCTTTCAGGAAATCCTATACACTACTGTTTATGCTCTAAAAACATTCTAAATGACATTGGACGAGCAGTATGGAGGAATATTGACACGTTTTTTGTGGACTTTTATGGACCTTTCTGCCTCGGGCGCTATGGACCTCCATTATGTGAATGTCAGCAGACAGCAAGAAGCCTCCCAGATCTCCAGATGCATTTGAGATATCAAAAAAGTACTCCAGAGTGTTGTTCAGCATGGGGGTGAGTAGAAAATGAAGGCTAATCATGTTTTGGGTGTACTATTCCTTTAACTGATAAACAGGAGTAAAAAGCTTAAGCCAGATTAAAATCTTGTATATTTACAGTATGATCATTTCTGACTGTTTGCACCATCTCTCTGGATCAGGGTTGCCCAAGTCCAGTCCTTAAGAGCTACCATTCTTCAACTTTTGTTTCTTCTCAGGCCCACTTAAATCTCAGCATGTAATTTAGCTTAGCACAGCCTGGTAATAAGTCACCCATTTGATTTAGGTGTGTTGGAGAAAATATGCATCTAGAAGTTGAATGATGGTAGCTCTTGTAGGCTAGACTTGGGTACCTCTGCTCTAGATAATCCAGGGTGTCTCGTGGTGTCTTCTATTCCACTCCACTGTTCTAGGATTTACGGTATGTCTAGATACTGAAATTAGCACAGATATAATTTAGCCTTTGATTCTGGTGAAAGATTTCTGCCCCAATCTGGTCATAAGCCTGGATAAACACGAAGTTAAAAGATTCAAAGACCCAAACAAATAAAATATTGTGTCACTGACTAGGCAGGAGGTCCCAGTCTGTGACAAGCAGAGACAATCCCTGTTCCTAAAGTCAGCAGGCCTAAAGCGCCAAATGATTTTTGACCAGTCACCCTCACGTCTCTTTTGATGAAATCATTGGAGAAAATTACTTCTAGGGGGGAATGCATTTTCACTTCACCTTATGCAATTTGCTTAAAAGCTCCTTGGAGATGTTGAAGATGCAACACTTACCCTGGCAACATTTTTATTTAAAAATCTGGAACGGGAGATTGAATTTTATTGATTTTTTATCAGCTTTCAACTCCAGCTGACCTCACATTCCAGCCATGAGGCTTAATGAGCCCTTCTAGCTAAACCAAAATCTGCTGGGCTTTAGCATTTCATTTGAATCTCTATGTTGCTCTACTGAGTTACCTCAGGGATGTTTTCTCTCTGTTACTTTTTATCCTTTAAACCGATATTTGCAAGAGTTTCTATGAAAACAAACACATTCTAAAATTAGCAGACATTAAAATAATTGCAAGTTTATTGCATAACAGTGAATCCAGCCATGGTCCACTTTGGAGGATTTTATCATTTGGTGCAATCTTTCAATCTAACCAGACGCACCTGATATAACATCCAAAACAAAGGACATGATCATCAATTTTAGAATGCAGGCTGCAAGCCATTATCCCACAGCTATTGATGGCCAATCTGCAGACTACTGCATGTATGTTGGGATGTATGTTGGGATGCATGGCAAACTGACTTAACAAGACCTGTGATGCAGTTTGGAAGACGAGACATCAGTGATGCTATAACATTGACATAACTATACTAATCGTATTTACAACTTATAATGCCTTTTTGAAGCTTATCGTTTGCCTTAGTGTTTCGGTTTAGTGGTTCCTAGAATTTCTAAAAGTAGAATGGGAGGCAGATCTTTTAGTTATCAGGCTCCTCTCCTGTGGAACCAACTACCAGTTTTAGTCCGTGAGGCAGACACCCTGTCTACTTTTAAGGCTAGGCTTAAAACTTTCCTTTTTGATAAAGCTTATAGTTAGAGTGGCTCAGGTTATCCTGAGCTATCTCTATAGTTATGCTGCTATAGGCTTAGAGTTCTGGAGGACATAGGGACCCCCATTTCATCATTTTGCTTCATTCTATCTCTATTCTCCCACTCTGCAGAATCTGTTAGTTCAATCTCTAACGTTCTGCTCTCTCTGCTTTTCCTCATAGTAGCTTCATCTGGTCTGTTCCTGTTTGGCTGTGACTCCATCCTGGAGAGAAATATCTGCTGTGCTGCTGCCATCAACACTGTTGTTTATAGATGTTGGAGATCGGCCTGTTTTCCAGTGTGGTCCTGTTTCTCTGACCGTGACTAACTGAATGTGCTCTCTTCGTCCTCTGACATGGGAGCTGGCTCGGAGCTCGTCTGCCTGGCTGTGTGTTTCCTGGACGGGGCCGCCTTTTACAGCTGCTTTTTGTATCTCTGCTTCTGTCTCCTTGAACCCCAGTGGGCCTCAGCAGATGGCCGCTCACACTGAGCCTGGTTCTGCTGGAGGTTTCTTCCTGTTCAAAGGGAGTTTTTCCTCTCCATTGTCGCTACAAGCATATTTAGTCTAAGGGATGGCATTTGAGTCAATGAGTTGATGCAATCAACTGGTTTCCCTTAGATAGAAAACTTCAATTTGGCTGTATGATGTGGTTGAACTGTAAAGTGCCTTGAGATGACATGTGTTGTGAATTGGCGCTATAGAAATAAACTGAATTAGATTGAATCTATCAGTGCTGGTTAGAATTACGGTACCTTGAACCAAATCACTATATGTGCTCGTGGGGCTAATTGGAAAGCTCAACTCACATTGCCCCTTTCCCACTGGCCAAAAAACCCATATAACCCGCAAACAATTGGGTTTTAGTGGGAGTATGAACAGCTTATTGACCCGTGCCCACCCACGTCAAACGACTTGGCAAGCAACGTGGGTTAAGATCACGTTGAAACAGCTCAGATCGGAATAGAGTCACAAACCAGACCTGGGTAGACCAAGTCGCACCGGACATAACAAGTCAAAACAACTCTGCTTGTATTCATAAACATAGCACAGGACTGGGGAGAGAGATTTGGACATACAAAAGAGCGAAACAAAACAGCACGTCTACGCCTTGGCTTCGTTCCATGTTGCTCTCCATTGTTTACTTTACTAATTGTTTACATTGTTTACTAATTTTTGTCGCATTGGTGACATAATCAACGCTAAACAAGTGGTTGGACATAGGGGTGTCAGAGCGGGTAGACCCAGATTTAAAACCCTGTGTCGACCCGCTCATTTCAGCTAGTCTTCTCATTATGACACACGGTTACAACATAAAGCTAATTGCATTCTCAAAGATGGCTCACACCCTTTTATTTGGTGTGTTACAGCTCCTCTGGCCATCTTGGTCCCCAAGAGAAGGACAAAATAGTACAGAAAGTACTTTGGACAAACTGAAACTGTAATGCTGGCCAGTAAGGCTGAGAGGTGATCAGCCTTGTTTGAATGGAACTATTGATGCTGATGTACTTTTTCAATGATTGCACTTTTAATGAGTGAATATGCTACACAGCGTTTTTTTGCTGTCACTTTATACTGACATTGCTGTTTCCATTCCTGCTTTCACAACAAATTTACTAGGAATAAAGAAACCTTGAACCACTAGTTATTTCAAACCCCTGATTCTCTCTGCATCACTTCTCTGCTGTTAAGAGGGCTTTTTTTTCCAGATTCCACATGGGAATGTGTGTGTACACAGCTGCCCTGCAGTGTGGACTCTTTCTAATTTGCCCAATTACACATATTGTCTATAGAAGAGTGGGTCTTCTGGGAGTTTTCTAGGGAAGTAATTATCAAGCAAAATTCCACAGATTAAATGACTTTGTCTACAGTTGCAAATTAATGTATGAATGGGAAAAGCAAGAACTAATGAACCAGGGTGGTAGGGGGCGAAAAGTCAAACAAAATCCACTCCTTTGACCTGGTTGTGGTTGTTAATGATACTATGTTGAAAGGGTAGTAAATGCATCACCTTGCTGGAATGATCATTTTCTGTCTCTTCTATGAATAGCCTTGCACAGGGGAGCGTCAAATCTTTCAGTAGCTAATCAGATTACATGACGAAACTAAACCTGTCAGCCAGCGCCATCGGTTTCTGCAAACAAAAAGAAGCTGGGAGGTGACCGAACACGTTTAGGTTGAGCTAATGATGGGGAGTCTGAGTGAAAAAATAACAAAACTCCAACAGCTTCCACAGAGCAGTCGAAACCAGGCCAGATCCTTTTTTTTAACTAAATCTGTGACATAGAAGAAAAAAAAAATCATGCAGATTGTATATCCCTAACTGAGCCATAGAGACGATTGGAAATGAAAATAGCCGAGATGCCGAC